GCATCCTTCGAGTACATTTAAGAATATCCCAAGGAAAAAAAAATTCTAGTATTTTCTTGTTCTGTATTATAAACACAACCAATTCACTCCACTTGCTCTACAAAAACCCCCACTTATTTATTAAAAATTTAACCTTCAAACGCTTATGAATTTGGTTCAATCAGCTGTGGTAAGGGGAGATACACACATACCACTAACAAGGCACTAAATGCCCTTCATTGAGAATCCAGCGATTTAGGATATATACAGTGTCACCTATGTAGGGGTGTGCAAAATAACCAAAAAAGTGAGTCGAACCATGAACCGAACTGAACCAAACCGCTCCATAAAATAACCAGTTTTTAAAAACTAGTTCATGAACCGAACCGGTTTTTAAAGAACCGGTTCATGAACCGAACCGATTTTTAGAACCAGTTTAAGAACCGAACCGATTTTTAGAACCAGTTTAAGAACCGAACCGGTTTTTAGAACCGGTTTAATAACCGAACCGGTTCCGAACCGAACCGAACCATTTTCAAATCAAACCAAATTAATTTTTATAACTTTATTTTTAAAATTTTTAATTTTTTTTAAAAGAGGGTCGACCCGAACCGGTTCCGAACCACTTCCGAACCAGTTTTGAACCGAACCGAACCACTTCCGAACCGAACCATTTAAACCAATTCGGTTCGGTTTTTCAAAAAATCCGGTTCGGTTTTTCAAAAAATCCGGTTCGGTTCGACCTATGCACATCCCTAACCAAATGGACTCAATGAAGGGTCACTTTTAAGGACTCATTGATGTTGCCCTTAAGTGGGAGGAATTTCCTTGCGGAGGGATGCTTACTAACACACTTTAGTGGTTGAGAGAACTCAAAGTCATGCTATGGGAAAACATTCATTTAGGCTGGGACCCCAACCTCTTTTTTCTTCCCCTTTATTGATGTTTATTGTCACTGTTCAATGAGCAATTTCATCATAATCTGATAGGAAATTTTTGTATTAGTTTTTTTTTTTAATTTCTCAGCTGATTTAGTGATTACTCGAATAATTTGGTTCGAAATTACAAGTATGGCAAAGTTTTCCATATTATTTTTTTAATAGATATCAACCGGTATTAGAAGTCCTAATATACCTAACTAATCAGGTTTTGAGTTTGTGCTTTTTTATTTTTCTCAAAATTACAATTCTCAATATTTGAATTCATTATCTTTTGTGCATGTCAAATACCGGGGTCTAATTAGGTTGCCACTAAATCAAAACTCTTGAGTTCCCTACTAAATTTTAATATAACTGGATCTAAACTTCAACTCGAGATAATTAATTAAGCTGAAATAATCAGTCACAAGTAACATATTTGGTTAACTGGTTAAATTTTTTGGATTTTTTATTTTTATTTTTTTTTTAAAGTTGGAAAGCGACAATGGTATAATCGGTGAAGGTTGGACCAACCATGCTGCTTTCAGAAGTCCAGTGTCTTTATTTGCAAATTAGATAGGCAACTCTAAGTCACGAAGAAAGTAAGCCTTTGATGTAACTTGTCACTTCAAAATTTAGACTTTATATCTTCTTGTCCATTGAATTCGGAAATTGCATCCAACATCTCAATTTCCTTCATGTCTTAATCTATAACTTGTCACTGCAAAATCATTTTTAGACTCTTTCTATCCTTGTCCATTTAATTGGGGAATTGCGACCCCCCACATTTAATTTTTTTTTGCGTGTCTTAATCTATTATACTTGTGGTACGTTGGATTGCCATTCGGAACTTGCAAAATCACATTTGAGGTTATAAATATGGTTTGAAATTTTTGTCTAGCATAATTGACAATCCTAAAATGAAATTGATTTTATATCAAAATTATAGCTTCATTCCTAATTGCAAAAGTATTATTTTATTACTTTTGTAGGGAAGAAAATTCAGTTATATGTATTGACAAAATATCTTTATAATTCAATATTATCTTATTACTTTAATGATATTTACGTAATCACATATCTAAAAGTGATTTTATCAATAAATTCAACTAACATTGCTTTTACTAAAATTACTTTATAGATATAAAGTTTACAAAAATGTACATCATTACTTGTAGATCCACTTATTAACAAAATTAAGTTAAAAATAATAATCTAAATACACAATTAATTATTTGATTAATCTCTGTTTGTGTCCATACTAATATTATAACTTTGCAAATAATATAAATGTAGTTGAGAAGTTGAGAAGAATCTTTCCCTCACGAACAATTCTTCTAAAAAACAAATACTACCAAAATACCAAAGAGAAAAATAATAATTACAAAATTGAGTTGTAATCAATAAGTAAGCTGAACAAATCTTGGTAAAGAAAATGGAAGAAGAAAAAGAAAAATGAAAAATAATTTTTTTTTGTTCACTCAAAGAATATAATATTATTATTTTAAGTGAAAATGCAGTGTTTCATTATAATATTTAATCAATTATTATTTTTTAATTATCATAAAATAAATTATGATAAATAAAAAGATAATAAATACATATTAAAAATTATATTTATGATATTAAATGAGATATTATAAAAAATTAAAAAAATTATATTAAAAATTAAAAATTAAAAATTAATATCATAAAAATTATATTTATGATATTAAAAATTAAAAATTATATTAAAAAACTATAAATATACTTAAATACTTGTAAAAAAAATACCAATTTCAAATATTTTAATATGAAAATAATAAATTACACATCATTGTCCAACAAAAGATCAATCAAACATATAATATTTGTGATACTAGTATTTCAAGTTCAGTAAACGACATCTCAAACTATAAATCAAATCAAAATTTTCTGTATATTGTATAATCAAGATAATATTAGTGTTGTAGGTACATAATCTATGTAAGTTAATAAGCTACAAATCACTCAAATATTTCAAAAAAAAAAAAAAGCATTTGTGTTTGAGAGTACAAAAAAAGAAGACATTAATTTATGAAAATAAATTAGTTTTTTTTTATAGACCGGGTCGGGTCACTGGTTGAACCGACCGAGTCACCGATTTTTACAAAAATTGACCGGGTCGCATCGGGTCACACCGATTCTGTAACATGGCCGATCCAATATGAAAATCGGACCGGTTACATGATCGATTCACCGATAGAAATCGGTCTGACTTTTATAACATTGTTATAATCAAACATTAAATTTCATTTAAAAGGCACAAATATTATGTTAAAAAAGTTTTAATAATAAAAATGCATAATTAAAATAGAGGTACGACATTGTAACAATTAGGGGTGTTTGCGTTATGGATTGAATCGATTTTGAAAGCAAAAATCATCTGATCCAATCCCTTCGGTTTGATTTTTTTTTAAATCCTCTAATTTTTTTCGGTTTGGATTGGATCGGTTTTCAATATTTTGAAAAGCCAAAAATTTGTTTGATAATTATTGTGCAAATCACATATCTTTTGTATGTATTGACATTGTAATTTTTTTTTTTGAAATACAGAAGTATCAGTAAATGATAATCTAATTTTTTTTAGATATGAAGCTCTACATAGAGGAAATTTTTCTGATGGGGTATGACTAAATTTTTTCTTGGGTTTAGCTTATGGGTTATTGGGTTTAGAATTTTTTGGGCTAGGTTGAAGAGAATTAATATATTGGATCGGTTTGGATCAACTAAATCGAAAATCGGTCCAATCCAATTAAAATGTGCGGTTTTTTTTTTCAAATTTAGGTTTTTTGGTTATTTCAGTTATCAATTTTTTTTTTGATTCGGTCACTGCAGTTTGGATCGGTTGATGAACACACCTAGTAACAACCAATTAGAGTTACTACCAATCAATTTGTTAGATCGATTATGTGGATCTAACGATTATATTTATTTCCATTTTTGCATGGTTATGATTTTTCATATTTAAACTTTATATTTATTTTCATTTTTATATGGTCATGATTCCTCACATTAAATGTGAGGAATCATAACCAGTGTTTTAAAACTCGGACCGGTCATCGAACCGGTCGAGGTACTGGGTCACTGGTTCAACCGGTTTTACTGTTCACATATTAAAAATATAAAAATATTACTTATATTAATAAAAATTCACATAAGAAAACTATCTATGAGCTTCAAAAAATAAATTAGTTTTCAATGATAGAAAATATTATATACTTCTAAGCTTCTAGCTCTAGACCGTTGAGATGAGATCATGAGACCATCAATGTTTATCACCACTTAACTTCACGAGATCATTATAAGATGCAACTAAATTACATAAATGAACTACACTAATCTAAAATACCTTATTATTTTCACCTTACTTTTAATCATATTCATCATAAAATATGAATATGATTTAATTCAAGAGTTCTTATCAACAAAAAAAAAATTTACCAAAAAAAAAAGAAAAAGAAAAAAATGGTTTAACCCGAGTCAACCGGGTCACCGGGTTTCGGCCGGGTCAACCGATCCAATTCGGACTGACTGCATAACCGGTCTAACTACCCGCTCGGACCGAGGAATCCACCAGGTCACCGAGTCCCGGGTCGGCCCGGCCGGTCCGAGCCGGGTTTTAAAACACTGATCATAACCATACAAATATGGAAATAAATATAACTGTTTGATCAACATAATTAATCTAACGATGAAATTGATTGGTAATAACATTAATAGTAATCCTAATTAATTATTAGAATATCCTATCCCATTAAAATAATACGCATAAGTCTACCAAAAATAATAATAATAATAAAACGCATAAGCAAAGAGAAAGAGCAGGAATAATGGTCGGTGCCTCGGTGGCAATGGTACTGTGAACGGATCATTGCCTTTTTTTTATTTTTATTTTAGTACAGACGGATCAATATCATTGCGACATTGCCTTAATTTCGTCTTAACAAATAACAACAATCACAATAAAAACCTTCTCACATACTCTTTCTCTCTCTATCTGTTATTGGTTTGTTTATCTATTTTTCTTTCTTTCTTTCACATTCTGTTTCACCACCCTTTTCATTCATCGTCGTCATAATTTTATCCATACATAGCAACACACCCTTTTCTCTCTGCAACTCTTTCTCTCTGAATTGCAAATCTCAAAAGGCTCAAAAAAGTTAAAGTGAGAGAGAGAGAGAAAGACAACGCACAGCCACATCAATTATTCACTTTCCTTTCCAACTTTCTTCTTCTTCTAAAAAATCCATCATCACCGCTGAGATCTCAGGTAAACGTCAATTGAATTATCACTTTGGTCAATTCAATTCCATTCACACATGTTAATGCTATCTGTAATTTCTGATCTCACTCTTTCTTTTTTCTCCTTCTTCTTCACTGTTTTGTTATCTGATTCGGTTTTATTTTTGTTTTCTGATTTTATCAAGTGTCGTGAGCGGTGATCTGTGTCTCCATGATGTTGTGGTAACTTTGATGCGATTTTTTTGTTGTGTTTGCTTTTCGGTTTGGGTTCAGTTTTTGATTTTTCATCTTTTTTAGTTTTGTTTGCTTGTTTGTTTTTGGTGTGATCTCACGCTTTCCTGCGTTTATTGTGATTTTTGATTTTTTATTTCGAAGCTTCGATCAATTGCTATGTTTTTTGTTTGCTTTTAATTTGAGGGAGAAAATGGTTGAATGAGCATTAGACAAACGGTCCTGGTAGATCTTAGTTTTATTGTAGTTTTAAATCCTTCGTTTTTATATATTTTTATTGCTATTTGATCCTTAGCTCCGATCAAGTTATTATATGGGCTTTTAAGTGCATAGCTGTAAATGTATTAGTAGATATCTTCTCAGATTTTGAAATGCTGAATAGAATTTGAAAATATGGAATGCTTAACCCAGTTGGCTATTAGTGACTTTCGTTTGAGACATGTTGTGTGGTGGAGCAATCGGTGGAAGAGCAATTATTTGCTTAAGTATTTGAAGCAATTTAGATGTAGAGCACTTTAGGTTGGTAATGCTGCTCTCAGTTTACAGTATCTGCCTAATTAGAGAAATGGGAATCTTGGAACATGGCATAGATGGATTATTCTGGTAAAGGGGAAGTTGTCGATATTTGCTTCATTAGTCACAGAAGTAATCTAAAGTTGAGAGACAATGTTCTGAATATAGATCCTCCCTAGTACCCTGGACCTGTCCCAAACTCTGTATTAGTCCATAGGAAACTTATGGGGGATTACTTTTTTTTTTGTTCGGGGGGGGGGGGGGGGATCCAAAAAAAATAAAATGATCTGAATATAAAGCAAAAACAATGCAACTGTGGGAGACTGGGAGTATTCTCATGTGCATTAAATTGCGAATGCAAAGAGGAAAAAGAAAAAAGAGAAAACAATATAGTTTTCTTTATTGGTACTTCAGGGCTGAATCTTATTAGTCATAATGTCATATGTCACTGTTGGTTAAAGTTGAGTAAGGAAACTAATCAAAGGTTGTTGTTGACTTTAAGAGAAAGGCTTTGGAGAGTATGAATGATATGAAGAAATTCTGAGGCTGATGAAATATTCTGCTTGTTACTGCCTAACATGGATGCTTGATTAAGACATATTAACCAGATATTTTTATCTGAAGAATATTACTTAAAAATATTTTAATTTGTTACTATCTTAAACACTACTTGAGGCTGATGAAAATAGACTAAACCTTGTTATGAAAGGTACATTTGAAGTATGTTAGCATGCAAAATTGAAAACCAGTTAACCATATGTTTAGTAGAATATCAAGATTGTAAACTTCATTGAATAGGACATAAAAATATGTGCTTGCTAAGTAATATATTCTCAATGCTAGAAAATTGTTTACATTACAGAGGAGATGCTTCTGGCTAAAAAAATTAGTAAGTTGTTAGTTATGCTTTCTTCTGATATACAACTCAATCAAAAATAACTAAATAAAATAAAATCCCACTGTTCAGTATATCCAATTTTTATTCTCATCTTTGCTAATAGATTGAAGCGAAAGATTTTTTATTTTTATTTTTTATTTTTTTGATAATAGAAGAATTCAGTTTTTGAAACTAGGATCCTACCATAGGAGAATAAATGATAGGTATTAAAAGAGAGATGAACCCAAAGGTGAAGAATGGAGTTCATGTTTTGTTCAGGCACTAAATTTTATTAAGTAAAGAGAACTCATTTTACTAGCTTTTACAGCTGTCAATGCATAAAGCTAAAGATACAAAACTAAAACAATGAGACTAAAGGAAACATCCCTATATATCTAACAATAATCAAGTGAAAACTGTTGCTCAACTAAAATTAGGAAAGCTGCTTATTTGATTTCTGCTGTTATTAGCTACTTTTTTACAGACATGCTTGAACACAGATCATATTCATGTCTTGTTCGAAGGTGTTACTATTTTCTCTTGTGGTATCTTATCAATAAATCTTTAATTTCCTGAATTAATAAATCAGTTTATTTCTACTGGAGTTCTTTCAGGTCTCATTGTCTGCCTTTTTATTTCCTGTTTTCTATGTATTTTTAATGCTAGCATGTCTAAGCTTATTTCTGTTTTCATATATGGTTCTGAAAGCCTGTAGACCATTTGGTTGGACTACCGAGTTTTGACATCCCAAAACTTGTTTTGAACATGAATTTAGATTCTTAAGCCACTCTTTGCGGTTGACATGCATTCAAGATCCGCTGCAAATCTTCATTAAATGCCAACATAAGTTCCCTTTTTCTTTATTTCATAATGTTTTCTAGAATAATTTAAACCTCTAATCTGTATAATAAACATAAAAACTGAATTTTTTTACAATATATTATGAAAAAGTAAGGAGTTTTCTTATTATGAAGATCCTTTTTTTCTTTCTCTTTTAAAGGAGAACTGATTATCTTTAATACAATGTCTTTACTCCTTACCCATCACAGTTGACCTATGTTGTTATGAGTTCCTTGATTAAAGTCATTTTCCAAATTTATAAATCAGTGATTTGTGCATATAATGATATAGAAGATATAAAAGTCAATTTGTATTAAAAGTATCTGTTGGAAAGCTAGCTTTTTGTGATTGAGTTCTCCAAAAAGAGACAAGGAAGTCAGTTAGCCTTGCTCATGGTCTGTTGATCCTTATGATGATTATGATAGATGATAGACATATAAAATATTTTTGGGAAATGAAGGCTTGTGGGTACTGCTGTTCTTCACACTCGATACTTGTAAACTTTGATTATGACTAATTTGCCTGATATTGTAGTATCAGTGGATGCAACAACTTTATCTTCATAGTGCTAGATGGTTTTCTCTTGCTTATTTATCATTATCTCTGTTTTTCTCATGCAGCGGATTACTTTGTCATTTACAGACATCTTGTTTGCTGAAAAGAAAAGGAGTACTTTAGAAGGAACTTTTATCCATGACTAGCTCTACAAAAATTTTGGATCCTGCATTCCAGGGAGTGGGTCAAAGAGTGTATCCTTTAAGTAATGGGTGATTTATACAAATAACTTGATGAAATTATAATTCTTCCTTTTAGATTTTCTTCATGAAGAAAGTTAAAGGGGAAACTAATAGAAATGTTTACTTCCGAGAGAATATTCAAACCATATATAATTAATCTTCAGCAATAAGCATGACTTATTAATGTTATATTGTTATATATTGAATATACTATATTTAAGAGTTTTAAAACTTAACTTGTGGTAGAGGGACTGAAATATGGAGGATTGAGAATTTTCAGCCAGTTCCATTGCCCAAATCTGAACATGGGAAATTCTACATGGGAGATTCCTACATCATCTTGCAGGTGTGAGCTATATACAATACCTTAGATCTGTTTATGTATGGCTGTATGTGGTGTGTCTGTTTAGGCTGTGCACAATGCCATAAATAACAACTTCTTTGGTTCCCTAGATTGTAACAGACAATATCATGGCCATTTTCATATTACGATTCTCAGTCAAAACACGTGAACAGCATAATAGAAAAATGATACTTTCATTCTCAATGGTTTATCGAAAACTTTTGACTAATTTCAACTTATAATTCTTGAGGTTTTAATGCAATTCCTCCTCTTGTGAAAATATGGATTCAGAACAACATAACTTCTAGTAGTGTTGGAAGATAGGTTTCTATCCTTCAATTTTGGGTGTTCATTTCATGTATACTTGCAGACAACACAAGGCAAAGGAGGCACTTATTTTTATGACTTACACTTCTGGATTGGAAAGGATACAAGTCAGGTAAGATTCGACTTAACCCTCCTCATCCCCATCCTGGTTCTTGCCTGATGCAGCTTGTGTTAGTTTTTTATTTTCCTTGTAAATAAAGAGGTGACTAGAATGTTGAACCTTGTAGTATTATGATTTTAAAAAAAAATACTGTTCCAAGGTTATTTATCTCTCTATTTGGTTTCAGTTTTTTTCTTTACTGTCCCTTTTCTTAGAAGTATTTAGATGTGTTGAATCCACCATTTTAGTTTTCAAAAGACCTGGGGTTCCGTGATTCACATTTTGGAAATTCTTGAACATTATCTTTTTGACAAAAGAATCTTTTTAACGAAAAAATTATCTTTGCTGCCGTTGTGGTTTTTCTTGTAGGATGAGGCCGGAACAGCAGCCATTAAAACTGTTGAACTTGATGCAGCTCTTGGAGGGCGTGCAGTGCAGCACAGGGAAATCCAAGGACATGAATCAGACAAGCTTTTGTCATACTTTAAGCCCTGTATAATACCATTAGAGGGGGGTGTTGCATCTGGATTTAGAAAACCTGAAGAAGAGGAGTTTCAAACACGTTTGTATATATGCAGGGGGAAAAGAGTTGTCAAATTGAGACAGGTTTAGTGTTCTATATTCATGAACTTCATTATTTCAGAGTACATATAAATTAACATTTTGCTTTGGCAGGTCCCTTTTGCAAGGTCTTCGTTGAACCATGATGATGTATTCATCCTAGACACTCAGAATAAGATCTATCAATTCAATGGTGCAAATTCCAATATTCAGGAAAGAGCCAAGGCTTTGGAAGTTATACAGTTTCTTAAGGAAAAATATCATGAAGGAAAATGTGACGTTGCAATTGTTGGTAAGGGTACTTTTCCTATTATATAATTCTGTATATCTTTTCTTCAGATGCATATTGATTTGTTTGTTAATTTATAAAATATATCCCTCATTGCAGATGATGGCAAGTTAGATACTGAGTCAGACTCTGGTGAATTTTGGGTCCTCTTCGGTGGTTTTGCTCCTATTGGAAAGAAGGTAATCAGCGAGGATGATATCATTCCAGAGGCAACTCCTGCTCAGCTTTATAGGTATGTTGATTTCATCGTCCTCACCCCCTTCCCCTACTCCGTGTTTTCCCTTAAGCACCTGTTTCAAAAAGATCATACTTCTAAATTGGTAGTTTTTTAATTAAGATAAAATTATGCAATCAAAACAAAGGAATTTGTTAGTTTCTGTATAATTTCATTTTAAGTCTGAATTCATCTCGCTTGCTAGTAAGATCAAAGAAGTTTATAAAATTTATTTATAATAAGTTGCTTTGTTATATCACTTTTAAAGGAAGATACAATTAGCTCTTATTGGGTCAATTTGAGAAGAAGACCAATAGAGACCCAGTGCAAAAATGGATCCAATGTAAGATAGTCTGATTGAAAAGTGTAGAGGAAAATCAGAGAAAACTTTAAGAGAAACCATTAAAAAGACCTTGCTCTAAATATATTTTTTGAAAATTTTGGCTTGTGATAGAGCCTACTTTCATTGTTTGGTCCATGCACTGATCCCTCCTACCTTGGGTTTTACTGGTTGTTGATTCATAGTTCCCTTTCTGTATATTACTTGTATATAAATCTTTAAATAATAAATCATTATAGATAGCAGATGCTTGTGCTAAGAAATATGCATTCATATATTTTTTTGCTCATTGTCTGAGTGTTTTTCATGTGACATGAGGAGGTTTTGAATAAAATTATGGACTTTTAAAATCTTCTAATTCTGTCTGAAGCACAAAGATGTCTTTTCTTTGCTGCTTGGTGACTTATACTTGGGATAATTTATTTCTGTTATTCAATATCACCATCACATTACTAAAATACTTATTTTCTAACATTTTTTTTCTTTAATAGTTTTTTCCTGAAATAATTCATTGAAGTTTGTGACATCATAATGTGTTGATTAGTGTAACAGATATTTTGGACATGGTCATTGGCAGTGGTACATACTGATAATTAAAACGAAAAATAACTTCATATAACTTGTCCTTGTAGTATAATTGATGGTGAGGTCAAGTCTGTGGAAGGGGAACTTTCTAAATCACTGTTGGAAAATAACAAATGCTATTTACTGGACTGCGGTGCTGAGGTGTTTGTCTGGGTTGGCCGGGTAACGCAAGTTGAAGAACGAAAAGTAGCTTGCCAAGCAGCTGAGGTAATTGTAGAATCTAGTTCTTCATGTGTTAGTTAAAAGTGGATTCATTAAATTTATTAATATTACCAGGAGTTTGTTGCAAGCCAAAATAGGCCAAAATCTACAAGGATAACGAGGGTTATTCAAGGTTATGAGACACATTCATTTAAGTCCAACTTTGATTCTTGGCCATCAGGATCTGCTACTAACGGTGCTGAGGAAGGAAGAGGAAAAGTTGCAGGTGCCCATAATTTATTCTCACTTGTACTTTGTGCTGCCTTTGGTCTAACTAGCCATTCTCACATGTGTGCTATTTTATTTACTGCCAGCATTGCTTAAGCAACAAGGTATGGGTGTGAAAGGAACGACAAAAGGTACCCCTGTAAATGAGGAAATTCCACCTTTGCTTGAAGGAAGTGGAAAGAAGGAGGTGGGTTTATAATTTTTTCTATGAAGTTTCCTTCAACAACATCTTTATCCCAAATCAGTTTGGGTCGGTGGCCAATGATAATGAAAAGGAAGAAAAGATTGAGAGAAAAAAAATAAAATAAAATAAAAACACTAGAAATAAAAATTGAAAATTAAAAATTAGAAAGAATTATAAAAAATAAAACAAAGATATATAAGAGAAAAATGCATAAGAGAAAAAAAGAAGAAAAAAAGTAAAAATGAATTTTTTTTTTAAAGAAAAAAGAATACAGTATTAACAGTTTCCTTGGCTTAATTAAATTGACACTTGTGAATATGTAATATTATTTAAATTTTCAGGTATGGCGGATTAACGGAAGTGCTAAGACTCCATTGTTGAAGGAGGATATTGGTAAATTTTATAGTGGAGATTGTTACATTGTACTGTACACGTACCACTCTGGTGAGAGGAAGGAAGACTACTTCTTGTGTTGTTGGTTTGGCAAAGACAGCATCGAGGTAATTTATGTCTTTCTGATTTGAGCTCAAAATATATTGTGACCATTGTAATTTCTATTTGCCATTTACTTTTCAGTGCTAACACTGTTAAGACTGACCAAGAATTTCCATGCTTAGGCAAATTGTTTTTTTTTTTCCTTTAAACTTACTGTTGGATTTGAATTTGTGGTTGTCATTGACATTCTGAACCTAGAATAACTCTACTAGGGGATAGACTACAAAATCTCTTAGCTTTTATTAGTGGTGGCAATATCTTGGATAGATGTGGTCAAAAACTATGTTATTATCAGTTAGCATAATTCGTGGAATAGTGTTACAGTGCTTGACATTCCATATCAAGCAGTCTATATCTGTATACGGTTCTGCCAAGTAGAAAGTTTGGGAAGGTGTATGAGAGCGAGAGACACATCGGATTGTTGCCAATTACAGGAGCTGAGTCAGCATTAGTTGTTTGGCAGGGAATCAGTTGGTTGGGGTTACATTTTTAGCATCACATGATGGCTGGAATATATAGAGGAGGAAAGACCATTTTGAGGGTATCTTGGAAAAGTGGAAACTCTTGGGCTCTTGGGAGAGAACTAGAACCTCTCAAACTGTTCTGGATATCAGTTCTGTTTTCTTTAATTTCCAGTCATGTATTTCTCTATTATCTGTTATTTCCCTTCTCAATCTTGTAACTTCCCCTTAAAGACATACAGAGTAATTTTCTGATTGGATCTGTGTTGGACTCAATCTAATTAATACAAGTTTCATTTCTCAATCCTTCTCTCTTGACCCTAGAACCTAACACTGTACAAATCATATTAAGCAATATGTCTTGACAGACAGTATTTGGTGTCAGAATGCCCATATGTCCTCTCCATAAATCTTTCTTTCTTTTATTTGGGGATAAAAACTCCATATCACATTTATTGGAATCTTCATGCTTAGGGAAATAAGATTACTATGAAAAACAGGATTCTTGAAAACCAGGGATTTTTGAAGTAAAAATTTAGCTTGTTACCAAGTACAAAGCAAAGCACAAATTATAGACTTATTGAAGAATTGCCTTATGTTGAGGAACTGGGTAGCCTTGTTCTTTCCTGTTCACTTGGAATCAATCTTTCTTTCTTTTTTATTTTTAAATCCTCCTTTCTTGTGCGTGTATGTACTACATGAAAGTGTGAAAGGTAAGATCTTTAATAGGACAAAGTTTCTATCGTTCTCTTAATGGATTGTTTTGGTATGTAACTCTTAGGTACTAGAAACAAGAAGAGAAATATTGGAAACTAAAACACTGAATTTGCATTTCTCTAAATAGATTCTAGTGAGAAACAGGAAACACTACATAATGAAGGGAATCACAAATTAAAGTAAAATTATGGATTAAAGAAATGTGTTACAAATTAAACTGCAGAAAAGAAACAAATGACTTAGTAGCATTTGGGAGGCTACTGTTCTCTCCCGAAATCCCAATTCCAATTCTACCAAAAGTCTGAATATTCTTCTTGACATTCCTTATTTAACCTCATATGCCCATGTGTGTTGTTACACAATATTCCTCCTAACAAGTCTAGCAACAGTCGAGGGTTTGGTTTCTGGTTTACCTTGATAAGCTTTGGACGAGGCAGCAAGTTCCAGTTATTCAAGTTGGGTGTCATGAAGGCTGGGAATTAGGTTGGACCTTCTTTCGGGAATGCCCTCAATTTTAATTTCAACAAATTCAGAGGGTAATGAATTCACCTGATTTGCCCTTTCAGCTTCATGCGATGCTGGAAGTTCAATGTTTTCTTTGTCAAGGGGCTCTTCCTTTGGCTGGTCACTCTCCATTGGTGGCTTAGATGTGGGCTCTGTTGGTGATTTTGTTGGATCTGCATAATCTGACTCACAAGCCCAACTTGTACAAAGAACAGGGGTTTCATTGACATGTGTTTTGGAGCAACTTAACAGCATTTTGAGCCTGGCCCGTTACAGCAGTAATTTGGCCCAATTTTTTAAACCTGACTTGGCTTGTCCATCTTCCCGTTTCTCATTCGTTCGCAGCAGCTCGTTCCTCTTAGGGATGTACTGCATCTTCCAGTCCTCCTTTTCCATTTTCTGATTGTCATAGATCTGAAAATTTTTAGTAAATTGTTGGCTCAATTCCTCTATTCCATCTCATCTTTTGTCCGCTCGTCTTCTGTGAAATCAATCTCTGTTGACGGTGTTCTCGAGAACACTTATGAGCTTCAATATCTCCATATTTCTTTCTTCTATGCGGCTCATTCTTTCCTCCAAATATTCTAGTATGCTCATCCTATTTTCAAGGCTTTCATTCTGATTTTTTTTTTTTTTTGGACCACAGCTCCTAGATCAATGCTCTAATACCAATTGTCAGGTACTAGAAACAAGAAGAGAAATATTGGAAACTAAAACACTGGATTTGCATTTCTCTAAACTGATTCTAGTGAGAAACAGGCAACAGTACATAATGAAGGGAATTACAAAGTAAAGGAAATTACAGAGTAAGGAAATGTGTTACAGAGTAAACTGCATAAAAGAAACAAATGACTAGGGGCTACTGTTCTCTCCCAAAATCCCAATTCCAATTCTACCAAAAGTCTGACTATCCTTCTTGCCATTCCCTATTTAACCTCATATGCCCATTTGTGTTGTTACACAATATTCCTCCTAACAGGTTCTAGAACATTTCCTTTTAACCAATTTGCTCACTCAGTCAATGAAAGAGATGCTAACCCTTTACTATAATACACCCCTGTTGTTGGTGTCCTATCAGTAACTCTAAAAAATAGCCCACGCTTTTGCTCCGAGTTTGGCCTGCATACATGGTCAAATTGGCAAGCTGGGATTCTGTTTATGGTTCTATATTTTATGGGAAATATGTTTCTGCTTTTGCTGCAAAAAAAATTTCTCTGCCACATTGACATAAAATTGTGTGGGTCCCATAGGGAAATTTTTTCTACAGTAAAAGCAGAAAAGAAGAAGGACTTGCATATGGTGTTCATAGACCTTGAGAAAGCATACGATAGGGTTCCAAGGAAAGTTTTATGGTGGGTCCTGGAGAAGAAAAAGGTTCCATTAAAGTATGTAAAGGATATGTATGATGGGGCTACTACATGTGTAAAAGCTTGTAACAGATCATCAAGTTATTTTCCTATCATGGTAGGTGTACACCAAGGGTCGGCTCTAAGTCCTTACCTATTTGCCTTAGTTATGGATGAACTAACAAAAGATATTCAAGAGGAAGTGCCATGGTGTATGCTTTTTGCAGACGATATTGTGCTTATTGATGAGAGCAAGGAGGGTGTTAATAGAAAACTTGAATTGTGGAGAAGCACATTGGAATCCAGAGGATTCACATTAAGTCGAAGCAAGACTGAGTATCTGAAGTGTGAGTTTTCTCTGGTACAAGATGAGGACCAAGAACCTGTGCATCTAAATGGTCAAGAGGTACCCAAAAAAAATGCTTTTAAATACTTGGGCTCCATTTTACAAAATGGTGGAGAGATTGATGAGGATGTAAATCACAGAATCAGAGCAGGGTGGATGAAATGGCGTAGTGCATCTGCATTTTTGTGTGACCGCAAAATTCCCCTGAAGTTAAAAGGAAAATTCTATAAAACGGCAGTACGACCGGCAATGCTATATGGAGCGGAATGCTGGCCAGCACATAGGCAACATGAGCATAAGATGGGAGTAGCAGAGATGAGGATGTTAAGGTGGATGTGTGGGTACACAAGGATGGATAAGATAAGAAATGAAGATATTGAAAAGAAGTTTTTGTATATTGATATTGAATAAATTACATGAGTGAGTATTTATACAAGAAAGAATCGCTAAGAATGACTAAGCGATGACTAATCAATCCTATCACAATCCTAATCACAATCAATTCTAATCAATCACAATTAATCCTAATCAATCATAATCAATCCTAATCAATCATAATCAATCCTAATTAATAGGAAATAAAAACGGAAACATGTTTGAATTCTAATTTTCTACACTCCCCCTCAAGTTGGGAGGTAAATATTGATCATTCCCAACTTGCCAATCAAGTCTTCGAATGCTGGACGGTGTAGGCCCTTGGTAAGGACATCTGCCGTTTGCTCTTTGGTTGGAACATATATCAAATGCACACTTCCATCATCTAATTTTTCTTTGATGAAGTGACGATCAACTTCCACGTGCTTTGTTCGATCATGATGCACAGGATTTTGAGCAATGCTAACAGCTGCCTTGTTGTCACAATATAGTTTTATTGGTAGGGAATATGAAATCTTCAACTCTTGAAGAAGTCTTCTCAACCAGATTCCTTCACAAACTCCATGAGCTAAAGCTCGAAATTCTGCTTCAGCACTACTTCTTGCAACCACTGTTTGCTTTTTGCTTCTCCAAGTAACAAGATTTCCCCACACATAGGTGCAATAGCCTGAGGTAGATCTTCTGTCTACTGATGAGCCTGCCCAATCTGCATCAGTGTAGATTTCAATTGTCCTTTTATACCCCTTTTTAAAGAATAATCCTCTTCCTGGAGTATTCTTGAGGTATCTAAGCACCCTATAGACTGCACTAAGATGCTTCTCCTTGGGTGAGTGCATGAATTGACTAATCATACTCACCGCAAAGGCAATGTCAGGACGCGTATGAGATAAGTAGATTAGTTTACCAACCAATCGCTGATATTGTTCTTTATCCACCTCATTTCCATCTTCAATACCTAACTTGGTATTAGGTTCCACAGGTGTCTCAGCAGGTTTACACCCTAACATTCCTGTTTCCAACAAAAGATCTAGAACATATTTCTTTTGTGTTAGAGTGATACCTGTTTTGTTCCTAGCAACTTCCATACCAAGGAAATATTTGAGAGTGCCAAGGTCTTTGAGTTCAAATTGAGCTGCTAGAAATTTCTTCAAGGTGTTCAATTCCTCAATATCATCACCTGTAAGAATTATATCATCTACATATACAATAAGAATAGCAATTTTACCATCCTTAGAGTGTTTGTGGAAGAGAGTATGATCAGTCTGTGCTTGAATGAAGCCTCTTCTTTTGACTGCTTGTGTGAATTTGTCGAACCATTCTCTGGGAGACTGTTTCAATCCATATAGAGACTTTTTTAGTTTACACACTGATCCATTTCCCTTTTCAAAACCAGGTGGAGGATCCATATAGACTTCTTCATGTAAGTCACCATTTAGGAATGCATTCTTCACATCTAACTGTTGCAGAGGCCAATCTAGATTGGCAGCAAGAGATAAGAGAACTCGGATGGTATTGACTTTAGCAACCGGAGCAAAAGTCTCATGATAATCTATCCCATGAGTCTGAGTGAAACCCTTTGCAACCAATCTTGCCTTGTATCTGTTGATGCTATTATCTGCATTGAATTTTATTGTAAACACCCATTTGCATCCTACTGCCTTTTTTCCTTTGGGTAGGGTCACTATCTCCCAAGTTCCATTTCTTTCTAAAGCATTCATTTCTTCAAAGACAGCATCCCTCCATTTTTTATCATTGAGAGCCTCATGTATATTTCTTGGTATCTTTGTACTATCCAACATAGTATTGAAAGCACGAAACCCTGGGGACAACTTTCCATATGAAATATGATTAGAAATAGGATGAGTAGTACAAGATCGAGTACCTTTTCTGAGAGCAATGGGCAAGTGTAGATCATTTTCACCATGACACTCAAGTATTGGGGTGCTGGAACTAGAACATGGTTCAGAATCCTGGCAGTGTAGAGGCTCTGGGTTATTCACACTTTGAGGAGGCTTTCGCCTGCTATAGACTTGTCCCCATTTTGAGGAGGCTCCTGATGGTGAGGATTCTGTAGCTCCCCCTGTTTCTAAAAGTAGAGGTAATACTGTGGCATTAATAGGTTCCCATGACTGATCTTCATCTACTCCTATAGACTCCCCCTGAAGAGAAGTCGAGGGGAAGAAAGGGTCATTCTCAGAAAAAGTGACATCCATAGAGACAAAGACCTTACGAAGAGAGGGTGAATAACACTTATAGCCACGTTGAGTAGGAGAATAACCAATAAAGACACACTGGAGAGACTTAGGATCAAGCTTAGACCGTTGATGGGAGGGAATATGGACAAATACAACACAACCAAATAACTTGAGAGGTAAGGAGGAGACACCTCGGAAGGAAGGGAAGATACGAACAAGACTAGAAAGAGGAGACTGAAATTTCAGAATGCGAGATGGCATTCGATTTATCAGATACGAGGCAGTGAGAACTGCCTCTCCCCAAAGATATTTAGGAACACTCGTGGTAAACATAAGAGCCCGAGCAACTTCAAGGAGATGTCGGTTTTTTCTTTCCGCAACTCCGTTTTGTTGGGGTGTGTCAGGACACGAGCTTTGGTGAAGGATGCCATGTTGGGAAAGATATTCTCCAAGAATAGAGTTAAAATACTCTTTGCCATTATCTGTACGAAGAATTTGTATAGCAACTTGGAATTGGGTTTGAATTATGGCATGAAATTTTTTAAACACGGATGCAGCATCAGACTTATCCTTTAGAAGATACACCCAACAAACTCGAGAATGGTCATCAATGAAGGTAATGAACCATCGAGTACCTGAAATATTTTTAACACGGGCGGGACCCCATATGTCGCTATGAGTTAAGGAAAATGGGGAAGAGTCATGGTGAACTTTAGAAGGATAATGAGCACGAGTATGCTTGGCAAGTTGACAAATATCACAAGAAAACAAACTTGGACTTTTATTAATAAATAAGTTTGGCAACAACTTCTGAAGATAAATAAAATTTGGATGGCCTAGCCTACGATGCCACAGCATAACATCATTACATGAATCAAAAGGAAACATAGAGTTTTTTTCTACGAAAACAGCTTCATGAGTCACATCATCCTCAAAGTAGTAAAGTCCACCATCCTCTCTAGCACTGCCAATCATCCTCTCCGAGTCCTGTTCCTGAAAAACACAACCATGTGGAAAGAATTTAGCAAAGCAATGCAACTCAGAGGTGAGCTTGCTAATGGAAATGAGATTACAAGTTAGAGAAGGAACATAAAGAACTGATGTCAAAGTAATCAGCTCAGAAAGTTTAATGGTGCCGTGTCCCGCAATCTGGGAAAAACTGCCATCGGCGATCTTGACCCGAGAAGGTTCAGAATATGGAGTGTATGAACAAAACAAGCCAAGATTACCTGTCATATGATCAGAGGCTCCAGAATCAAGGATCCAATGATTTTGACTATCAACATGGAAAGTTGTACCTTGCTGGACCACATGACTAGTGGCCTTAGGAGGTTGCTCGTGGTAATAAAAAGAGTGTTTTGAGGAAGCCATGAATAAAAAGAGAAGGGTTGACCGTTGATGAAAAATCAAGTTTTGTAAACTTTTGATCTGACCTCTGGAACAGGAAGGGGAGAAGCCGGCGAGAAGGTCTGTGCAAGTCGCGACGGAAAAAAAAACGTCTGGAAGGCGGCGCGTGGTGGCGCGTGCAGCGGCTGACGGCGATGGGTCCAGCGGCGGTCGACTTGTCGGATCCTTCTGAGTCGAATGGTCACCTCACTTTTTTGATCGGAGGTCAGTCAGTAAACTAGGTTTCTGTGTTGGACAGATTCAAGGCAGTGTTTAGGAGGTGTTTGACGGTGATGGAAGTGTTTGGATGGTTATTTCAGATTTGAATTAGGGTAGGAACGAACCCGCTCTGATACCATATTGAAAAGAAGTTTTTGTATATTGATATTGAATAAATTACATGAGTGAGTATTTATACAAGAAAGAATCGCTAAGAATGACTAAGCGATGACTAATCAATCCTATCACAATCCTAATCACAATCAATTCTAATCAATCACAATTAATCCTAATCAATCATAATCAATCCTAATCAATCATAATCAATCCTAATTAATAGGAAATAAAAACGGAAACATGTTTGAATTCTAATTTTCTACAGAAGATATTCGACGAAAGGTCGGAGTAGTACCGGTAGCCGAGAAGATGAGAGAACATAGATTGAGGTGGTTTGGGCACGTGATGAGAAGACCCATGGATGCTCCTGTAAGAACAGAAGTTTGTTACCAAGAGCTAAACACAAAAAGAGGCAGAGGTAGGCCGAAGCTTACTTGGGGGAAAGTAGTAAAACAAGATTTAATGGAGTGGGATATAGATTGGCGGACAGTATGTTTCTTAGAAAGGAATGGAGAAAAGCTATAAGTATGGTGGAGGGTTAGACCCGCTGTTATTCCTATGTTCCAGATGGTCCTTTTTTAGTCCTTTTCCCCTTCATTTCCCCCACTTCTTCTTGTCCCTTTCTTTTTTACTTTTATTTATTTATATATACATATATTTTTATTTCATTTTATTTTATTTTATTATTTTATTTGTGTATTTTTATTTATTTATTTATTTTTTATTTTTTTTTACTTTTTTTCAACCGTTTTGTATCTTTCATGTGGGTTCATCTACCACCGACCCCAATTAATTTGGGATAAAGGTGTTGTTGATGTTGATGTTGAAAAGCAGAAATATTAAACTCATATTTTATACTCTTGATTGTTTTCACTAATTATATAATATATGACCCAAGTTTTGTCTTGATCCTTTATACACTGAATTTCTCAATTCAAAAACTTAGATTGTAACTTCCTCGGCATAACACATGACAACTGAGTAGACCTTTAGAAGAATATAGTATATTAAAATATCAATTACATAGACGTGTCGTTTTTCTTTTGCTACACATTAAATCTGCAAACTGTTATTCAATTGCCTTTCTTGAGTTAAGGAAGGACCGCTTAACTGATTAAATTAGCTCAAAGAATGGTTAATAAGAAACCACTTATTACATAATCAACCACTTGAGGGGTTGATTACTCCTAAACTAGAAATATTTGTACTATGAATTCCTTTTTGGTAATTTTCCCCAATATAAGTAGCAGTCGGGTTCCACCTTAAAGATATGACTTATCATAAACCATTAACTACAATTCCACAAATGATTCCTTTTTAGTTAATAATATTTATTTCTTAATTGCTTCTTAGTGCTTTCTTATTCAAAATTTATTTTCTCCATTAATACTTATTTGGGAATAGAATAAATTACTTTTGAATGCTTTTCACCTTGGTTGAATTTTCCATTCAGGAGGACCAAACAACGGCTACTCGATTGGCTAGTACAATGTCCAACTCATTAAAGGGTAGACCTGTTCAGGTATGGTAATCCAAATGTCAAAACGTTGGAGATGTTGCTTGGAGATTGTGTATAATTATAGTAGTTTCTTGCAGGGTCGTATATTCGAAGGCAAAGAGCCACCACAGTTTGTTGCTCTTTTCCAACCTATGGTGGTCCTTAAGGTATCATTAGCAAGACTACATGGTATTCTCAATGACATATCTAGTATAACTTTGTGAAACTAACTACTTTAACTTATGCCTGTTTTAGGGAGGTTTGAGCTCCGGATACAAAAATATGATTGCAGACAAAGGTTTATCAGATGAGACATACACCTTAGAGTGTATTGCACTTATTAGAATTTCTGGAACTTCCATTCACAACAATAAGGCAGTGCAAGTTGATGCTGTACGTATCCATTATATTATTCGATTTTTTCATTATTAGTATGTTGCTAGTTATTTTTTTCCCTTGTCCACTGTAATTATTTTATTCTTGCTCAGGTGCCATCATCATTGAATTCTACCGAGTGTTTTGTCCTGCAATCTGGCTCTACAATTTTCACTTGGCATGGAAATCAGTGTTCCTTTGAACAGCAGCAGCTTGCAGCAAAGGTTGCTGAATTTTTAAGGGTAAGATTTATTGGCTCCATGTTGTGGATCTTCTGCTAAATTATTCATGCATATCATAATCTTTAAAGCATAACCAAGTCTCAATTTTGTATAATTCAAACTCATTTGAGTGTATATTGTTTAATAACTGTTAGAATATTAGATATGATATGATTAGATTTGATTAGATATGATTGGATTCTGTCTTATCCGTAAATAGTCTGACTGTATTCTGACTGTATTAGGATTAGGTTTGGATTAGGTTTGGGCCTTACACTTAAGCCCATTAGGGTCTCTATATATTGTAACTCCCTGACACAGATCAATATACAACGTATTCTTTTACATTTAACTTGGTACCAGAGCGATTTCGTTCTGGGAACCCTCGCTTCCGCTTAGAAATCTTGTTCTTCGCTTTAAAACCTAAGCCCACTGCTTAGGAGTCATCTTTTCTTTGCCGTGCGTCCTTCCGGTAAGATATCAAAGGCTGTAAGTCCTCTCCAGGCATCTTCTGCACGTGTCCACAGTCACCGGAGCACCATCAGCTAGCGTCAGCCACCGTCAGCCACTGTTCAGGCTGCCAGAGTACTTTTCCGGCGAGTTTTCAGTCTGGAACGAACGCGAACAGAACCCTCTCCTTCCGGCGACCTGCTCTGTGGAAGTCCGGCCACCATCGGAGTTGTCACGCGCTCTCACGCGCCTCCAGTCTTCTCTGCGCGTGGGCTTCACGCGCCACCTTCTGCCGGCGCGTGAGCACTATTCCGGCGGCTTTTTCCGGCCGGTCTTGGACAGAGAAGCTCGTCTTCTCCTCCTCTTTCTGGATCTGTGGTTGGTTCTTTGTGGGTCTGACTTTTTTGTGCGCACCTCTTCTTGATTGGTGATCAGGTTCGTTTCTCTTTATTCGGTTTGTATCTTTGTGATTTGATATGGCAGCAAACCCTCCAATTCATTCGGAGGTCAAGTCTTCATCTCCTCCTTTGAGAAATTCTCCCAATATCATCTCTACCAATATTGGGTCCATTACCTCTTCAAAATTGAAGGGATCTGTTAATTACAAGAACTGGGCCACCTCTGTTCGAGTTTGGTTCTTTGGACAAGGATATGGGAACCATCTCACAACTAAGTCTACTGATGTCCTTAAGGAGGACAAGTCTGATTGGGAAAAGATTGACAACCAACTTCTGAGTATCCTCTGGCAATCCATTGATCCGATTGTCTTGGATATCTTTTATTCATTTCAAACTTGCACTGAAGTGTGGGAGGAAGCAAAAAACCTCTACACTAATGATGTTCAACAGCTCTATTTCATCATCTCTCAGTTTATGGAATTGAGCAAATCATCCGACATTCAGATGGAGACATATATTGGCAAGAGTCGCTCTTTGATGCAGGCATATTTGGATATGCTGCCCTACCCTACTGATGCTACTGCATATCGGAAACAGGTGGAACGTCTCTTTATGGTTGCCACACTTTCTGGCCTTCCCGAAGAATATGATAATGTTCGTGATACTATCTTGACTAGTGGGGAGCCTGATCTATCCATGACGTATCAGCGTCTTCTGAATTTGAATAAGAAATCTGCTCCTGCATCGTCTTCTGCTGTTGATTCTACTGCTCTAGTTTCCCGTACTGATTTTCGCGGGCATATTGGAGGTGGACGTGGTCGAGGTAGAGGCCCAGGAGGCCGGGGCCCAGGAGGCTCAGGAGGACGTAGCCCAGGAGGTCGTGGCCCAGGAGGCCCAGGAGGTCCAGTCGGACGTGGTCAGCGACCTCGTTGTCATTACTGTCAGCAACTTGGTCATTATGAGGAACGCTGCTACACCAAGTATCCTCACATGCGACCTTCTTTTGCTGCTAATGTAGCTCAATCGGATACTGCTTCAAATGGTTCAGTCTCTCTCTCCTCTGAAGAATATGCAGCATTCCAGGCCCTTCTCAGGAAGTCCTCTCCTCAATCTCAGGCCTCTGCTTCAGAAACTGGTAATCCTGTTGCTTGTGTTTCTCATTCTGCATCACTTGGTCCTTGGATATTTGACTCAGGTGCTACTGATCACCTCTGTGGTAATAAGGAACTCTTTTCTTCCCTTACATATTCTAATAATTTACCCTCTTTTACTCTTGCTGATGGAACTAAGGCCCCCGTTCATGGGATTGGACAAATCTGTCCAACCTCCTCATTGACCTTGACATCTGTCTATTACATTCCTCACATCCCTTATAATTTAATATCGGTTAGTAAATTGATCAATTCTCTTAATTGTATTGTCACATTCTCAAACCATTCTGTTTCTGTGCAGGACCCGGGTACGGGGAAGATGATTGGAGTGGGCCGTGAGTCACGGGGTCTGTTCTACCTTGATGTGCCGAGTCCTTCAGTTGCTTGTTCTCTCACAGAATCTCCACAGCTCATCCACAGTCGTCTCGGGCATCCTAGTCTTGCGAAATTACAGAAGATGGTTCCTCTTTTATCCGGTCTTCAAACTTTAGATTGTCAGTCATGTCAGCAAGGAAAGCACATACGCTCCTCCTTTGCTAATCGAGTCAATAAACGAGCTGATGCTCCTTTTTCAATTATTCATTCAGATGTTTGGGGTCCTAGTCGTAGTGTGTCTATTTTAGGTTTTCGGTATTTTGTCACCTTTATTGATGATTTCTCCCGTTGTACTTGGATTTATTTAATGAAAAACCGCTCTGAGTTGTTTTCTATTTATCAAAAGTTTTCTGCTGAAATTCATACTCAATTTGGTGCTTCTATTCGTATTTTACGTAGTGATAATGCTAAGGAGTATGTTTCTGTTGACTTTTCTCACTTAGCCACACAGGGTACTTTACACCAAACCACTTGTCCTCACACTCCACAACAAAATGGAGTAGCTGAACGTAAGAATAGACATCTCATTGAGATTGCCAGGACTCTTCTTATTCACATGCATGTTCCTCTTCACTTCTGGGCTGATGCAGTCCTTGCTTCTTGCTTTCTCATCAACCGCATGCCTTCATCTGTGCTTAATAATGATATTCCTCATAACTTATTGTTTCCAGATGTTCCTCTCTTTCCTCTATCCCCACATGTTTTTGGTTGTACCTGTTTTGTTCATGATCTCACTCCTGGTAAGGATAAGTTAACATCCAAAGCCTTTAAATGCATTTTCCTGGTTATTCTCGTCTTCAAAAGGGTTATCGCTGTTACTCTCCTGACCTCAAGCGTTACTTAGTTTCCGCGGATGTCACCTTTTTTGATCAACAACCTTTTAATTCTATCCCATCTCCATTGTCACAGGTTGATCATGTTCTTCCTGTTCCTTTTCTTGACTTGTCTTTGCCAGATGCAGGTGCTTCTACTCCAGATAAGCCATCACCTATTGCTCCAGTACCTAAGGACCATCCACTTCTCACTTATCAGCGTCGTAAGACAGTACCTCCAGTCGACTCGACCCCTGCTGACTCATTGCCCTCTGCAGTTGATTCTTCCCCTCCGGATCCTTCACCAGAGGCTCTTCCCATTGCTCAAAGAAAAGGTACACGTACTACTCGTAATCTTTATCCTCTTTATACCTTCTTGAGCTATGATCGCCTTTCTGCTCCTCATTTCACCTTTGTTTCTAGTCTTTCTTCTGTTTCTATTCCTAAGACCACAGGTGAAGCACTTTCCCATCCAGGATGGCGCCAAGCGATGCTTGATGAGATGACCGCACTTCATACCAATGGCACTTGGGACCTTGTTTCTGCTCCTCCAGAGAAGTCTATAGTTGGTTGTCGCTGGGTGTTTACTGTGAAAGTTGGACCTGATGGCCATGTTGATCGTCTCAAGGCACGCCTAGTTGCCAAGGGTTTTACTCAAATCTTTGGCCTTGATTATAGCGATACATTCTCTCCAGTCGCTAAGATGGCGTCCGTCCGCCTATTTCTTGCCCTTGCTGCTGTTCGTCACTGGCCACTCCTTCAACTTGACATCAAAAATGTCTTTCTTCATGGTGATTTACAAGAAGAAGTTTACATGGAGCAACCACCTGGTTTTGTTGCTCAGGGGGAGTCTGGGAAGGTATGTCGTCTTCGAAAATCCTTATATGGTCTCAAGCAGTCTCCTCGAGCATGGTTCAGTCGCTTCAGTTCTGTTGTACAGGCGTTTGGCCTAATTCGCAGTAAAGTTGACCATTATGTATTCTATAGGATTACATCTCCTAACAAGTGCATCTATTTGTTAGTCTATGTTGATGACATCATCCTCACCGGAAGTGATCAAGACGGAATCCATCAGTTAAAACAACATTTATTCAGTGCATTTCAAACAAAGGACCTTGGGAAGCTGCGTTACTTCTTGGGAATTGAGGTGGCGCAATCTAGACAGGGCATTTCTATCTGTCAAAGGAAGTATGCCTTGGATATCCTAGAAGAGACTGGTATGTTGGGGTGTAAACCAGTTGATACACCAATGGATCCTAATGTTAAGTTATTGCCCAGACAGGGGGAGCCGTTATCTGATCCTGGACGTTATCGAAGGCTGATTGGGAAGCTCAATTATCTTACTGTGACTAGGCCAGATATTTCTTTCGCTGTCAGTACGGCCAGTCAGTTCCTTGATTCCCCTTGTGATTCACATTGGGATGCTGCTGTGAGGATCCTCCGATACATCAAAGGAGCACCAGGAAAAGGTTTGTTGTATTCGGATCAGGGAAATACAGAAATTTGTGGTTACTCAGATGCCGATTGGGCAGGATCACCCTCGGACAGACGCTCTACTTCTGGTTATTGTGTCTTCTTCGGAGGAAACTTAATCTCATGGAAAAGCAAGAAACAACCTGTTGTTTCTCGATCTAGTGCAGAAGCTGAGTATCGTGCAATGGCAAATACTACCTGTGAGTTGATCTGGTTAAAGCAGTTGATTCAGGAGCTTCATCTTTGTGAACAGAAACAACCCATGACACTCATCTGTGATAATCAAGCTGCGCTACATATATCCTCTAATCCTGTTTTTCATGAGAGGACCAAACATATAGAGATTGATTGTCACTTCATTCGGGAAAAGATTCAGTCAGGAGAAATCAAGACAGCTTTTGTCAACTCGTCTAATCAACTAGCAGATGTTTTCACTAAAGCTCTTAGAGGTCCTCGGGTTGAATACATTTGTAACAAGCTTGGTGCTCATAATATATACGCACCAGCTTGAGGGGGAGTGTTAGAATATTAGATATGATATGATTAGATTTGATTAGATATGATTGGATTCTGTCTTATCCGTAAATCGTCTGACTGTATTCTGACTGTATTAGGATTAGTTTTGGATTAGGTTTGGGCCTTACACTTAAGCCCATTAGGGTCTCTATATATTGTAACTCCCTGACACAGATCAATATACAACGTATTCTTTTACATTTAACTATAACTACTAAAGATTTACGTTTTAGGGAAAAGGTTCAACACTTTTACATATGAAACTCAGAACATGTACCTTTGGCAATGTTTTTATATTTCTTTAGTTAACTTTTAAACTTCTATTTATATAGCATTGATTACCTCTAGATCAAATCATTCAAATTGACTTGAGATGACTATATCCTTGTGGTTAAACCTAAGTGCATCACAGTAGATAGTTAACTCTTGCCCGTGACTCTGCTTATTTATTTATTTATTTATTTTTCTTTATTTAACTTTTGAACTTAATGATTGTTTTGCCCATATACATTACTTTACTAATATAATACATGTCAATGTTCAGCCAGGAGTTACTCTAAAGCATGCTAAAGAAGGAACAGAAAGCTCACCTTTTTGGTTTGCACTTGGAGGAAAACAAAGTTACACCAGCAAGAAAGTCACTAATGAGGTTGTTAGAGATCCTCATTTGTTCACTTTCTCATTTAATAAAGGTAGCATTTCTCGTCATGTTACTTCAAAATTCATATAAAATGCTGTTATGCAATAGTTACTGATATTTGATTATACTGACCATTATTGATTTTGTTTATTCGTTTGCACTGTGGATCTACCAGGAAAGTTACATGTGAGTTTGTGACTGCTATCTCATTATTTAAAATTTCCCCCTATGGTTAGGAAATTTGTCAGCAGTAACCTTTGGGGTTCTTTATGTCTTCTAAAATATATTTTTATTTTACTCTGCAGGTAGAGGAGATCTACAACTTCTCTCAAGATGATTTGTTGACAGAGGATATCCTCATACTTGACACACATGCAGAAGTGTTCATTTGGATTGGTCAGTCTGTGGACCCAAAAGAAAAGCAAAATGCTTTTGAATTTGGCCAGGTAAACATGCTAAACAATTTAGGGCTTTTATTGCCCATATTTCCTCCTACTTCAAATACTTGACATATACTATAAAATCTTTCCCAGAAATACATAGATATGGCTGCATCTCTGGAGGGACTATCTCCACATGTGCCACTATATAAAGTAACAGAAGGAAACGAACCTTGCTTTTTCACAACATACTTTTCTTGGGATCATGCAAAAGCTATGGTATGCACTTATTTCCAGTTTGTTCTTCTGTAAAAAATCAATTTTTTTGGCTTATTCTTTAGCTTTAGCTTTAAAGTCCTTTTTTTTTTTTGCATGTCGGTGTTGGTTGAGAACATAAGATACTTCTTGGCTGTCTGGCTTGTTTAGCGAAATTCCATTATATTCATGTCATCGCTTATAGAGTTCACAAAATTCTGAATATAACAGTCTCTAAAGTGGCTGCTCCCATGTATGAAGCAGTGCTGCTTAGGGCTAGTAGTGTATTGACATTGTAATAATAGATCAGATGTATGTGTGATTTGAAAAAATGGTGAGGTGAACGTGATGTTTTTGAAGAAGTGATTCAACATAACAAGACAAATGGCTTAAGCCATTCAAACTTCTGTATTTAGGGTTTCAGGTATTTAAATTTGTTGACTTCTCGTGCAATATTTTCCTTACAAATTGCAGGTTCAAGGGAACTCATTCCAGAAAAAAGTGTCACTATTCTTTGGGATGGGCCATGCTGTGGAGGTATAGTACCCAGTTTAATTTTCTTGGGAAAACTGCTGTTCAACCATTCAAAGTAACTCAGTTTACATAATATAGTTTTATATTTACATTAAAACCAGCAGTTGAAACTGAACTTCTATTATGAGCAATGTCTTTTCTTGCATAGATTCAACAACTGAAGATTCTAATTCATGTAATGCTTCTTTAGATTCATTAATTTTTGTTGGGACAATAATATACAATAAAGTTCTATTGTAATATAAGACTGAAATGTATTTTTTTCATATATAGATTGACACCCCAAAGGGTTCTTTTTATACATATTACAAGGTAGTTAAGGAGATGAAGTAATAAATAAAATACACAGTAACCGAAGAGGCATCACACCATTCAAAGATACTAGTAGCTAGAAACAAGTAAAAAACTCTAGAATATTCTACACTCCCCCTCAAGTTGGGAGATATATATTGATCATCCCCAACTTGCTAATTAAATCCTCAAAGATGGGTTTATGTAATCCTTTGGTGAGAATGTCGGCTGTTTGCTCCTTGGTAGGTATATATGACAAACATACACTACCCTCCTCCAATTTTTCTTTAATAAAATGACGATCAACCTCCACATGTTTGGTTCTATCATGATGTACAGGATTTTGAGCAATACTGACTGTAGCCTTATTATCACAATAGAGTTTGATAGGTAGAGAATAAGATATTTTTAACTCTTCAAGGAGTCTTCTTAACCAGATTCCTTCACAAATGCCATGGGCTAGCGCTCGAAATTCTGCTTCTGCACTGCTTCTGGCAACAACAGTTTGTTTCTTACTTCTCCAGGTCACAAGATTTCCCCAGACATAGGTACAATATCCTGAAGTGGATCTTCGGTCCATTGCAGAGCCAACCCAATCAGCATCTGTATAGATTTCTATCATCCTCTTGTGTCCCCTTTTAAAGAGCATTCCTCGACCAGGGGTGTTTTTGAGGTACTTGAGGATTCTATAAACCGCACTAAGGTGTTTTTCCTTAGGAGAATGCATGAATTGGCTAACCATGCTAACTGCAAATGCAATATCAGGCCGAGTGTGAGATAAGTAGATCAGCTTCCCTACCAACCTTTGGTACTGCTTACTGTCAACATCTTTTCCATCTTCAATTCCCAATTTAATATTGGGTTCAACAGGAGTTTCTGCTGGCTTGCACCCGAGCATACCTGTTTCTTGTAACAGGTCTAGAATATATTTCTTCTGAGATAAGGAAATTCTCGCCTTGCTACGAGCAACTTCCATTCCAAGGAAATATTTGAGTGATCCAAGATCCTTCAGTTCAAACTGATTAGCTAAACCCCCCTTGAAAGATTTTATTTCCTCCCAGTCATCACCAGTGACAATTATGTCATCAACATAAACAATGAGGATAGCAATTTTGCCACTATCGGAGTGTTTAAAAAATAAAGTGTGATCAGTCTGAGCTTGGACAAATCCTCTTTCTTTAACAGCAGGAGTAAACTTTTCAAACCACTCTCTAGGGGATTGTTTAAGTCCATAAAGAGACTTCTTCAACTTGCATACTGAACCATCTCCCTCTTCAAAACCAGGTTGTGGATCCATGTAAACTTCCTCATGTAAGTCCCCATTTAAGAAGGCATTCTTTACGTCCAATTGATGCAAGGGCCAATCAAGGTTGGCAGCAAGTGATAGTAGGACTCGGATAGAGTTAAGTTTGGCAACGGGAGCAAACGTCTCCTGATAGTCTATCTCATAAGTCTGAGTAAATCCTTTGGCAACCAATCTGGCCTTATATTTGTTGATGCTGTTATCTGCATTCAATTTTATTGTGAACACCCATTTGCAACCTACAGTTTTATTTCCTCTGGGAAGTGCCACGGATTCCCAAGTTCCATTTTTCTTAAGTGCATCCATTTCTGCAAAAACTGCATCCCTCCATTTAGGGTCATTAAGTGCCTCTTGGATATTTTTTGGTATTTTTTACTGTCTAATATAGTGTTGAAAGCACGAAAACCTGGAGATAACTTTTCATATGAAATGTGATGAGAAATAGGATGAGCAGTGCAAGATCTAGTACCTTTTCGAAGAGCAATGGGCATATCTAGGTCAGATGTACCGGTGTTCTCAAGTGGATTGCCCGAACTAGGACTCGGGTCAGAATTCTGGCAGTCTAGAGGATCTTGAGGAGATTTACGCCTGCTGTAGAATTTTCCCCATTTACCGGGAGGATCTCCAGTCTCTGGTACAGTTGTTGTCCTTTTTTCCTGTACATTAACTCCCCCTGTCTCCATAGGTAAAGAAACAACACTTGTTTCCAAGGGTAAAGGTAAGACAGTAGAATTATTTGGAATCCAAGACTTGTCTTCATTTACACCAATAGACTCCCCCTGAAGAGAAGTCGAAGGAAAAAATGATTGTGTTTCATAAAAGGTAACATCCATAGAAACAAAGACCTCTCGAAGAGAAGGTGAGTAGCATTTGTATCCTTTTTGATTAGGAGGATATCCTATGAAGAAACATCTAACAGACTTAGGATCAAGTTTTGACCTTTGATGTGGAGGAATATGAACAAAAGCCACACAGCCAAACAACTTTGGAGGAAGGGAAGAGAAAGCCCGAAAGGAGGGGAAAAAACGGGTAAGGCAAGATATGGGAGAATGAAAATTCAGGACACGAGAGGGCATCCGATTGATGAGATATGAGGCAGTCAATACAGCCTCCCCACACAGGTATTTAGGGACATGCATCGTAAACAAGAGGGCTCTAGCAACTTCAATGAGATGTCTATTTTTTCTTTCGGCCACCCCATTTTGTTGACGGGTGTTAGGACAAGAACTTTGATGGATAATACCTTGCTTGGTTAGGTAATCCCCAAGAACAGAATTAAAATATTCAGTACCGTTGTCAGTTCGCAGGATTTGGATAGAGGTCTGGAATTGAGTTCGTACCATAGCATGAAAGTTTTTAAAAGTGGCTGCAGCTTCAGACTTATCCTTTAGAAGATATACCCAGCATACTCTAGAATGATCATCAATGAAAGTAATAAACCAACGAGTTCCAGATATATTTTTTTCACGAGCTGGCCCCCAAATATCACTATGGATCAATGTAAATGGAGACGAAACATTATAATCTCTGAGGGAATAAGAAACACGAGAGTGTTTTGCAAACTGACAATCATCACAAAAAAAGGAACTTGGTTTTTTATTGATAAATAAGTTTGGAAACAGCTTTTGAAGATAAAAGAAATTTGGGTGTCCTAAACGACGATGCCACAACAAAACATCATTACAATCGTCTGATAAACATAAAGAGTGATTTGCAAAAATTCTCTTTTCATGAGAATCTTCTTCAAAATAGTAAAGTCCTTATTCCTCTCTAGCACTGCCAATCATCAGCCCCTAATCCTGTTCCTGAAAAACACAGGTTTTGGCAGAGAATTTAGCAACACAATGCAATTCAGAGGAAAGTTTACTAATAGAGATAAGGTTACAAGTAAGAGAAGGGACATGAAGGACAGAGTTCAGAGTAATATGATCAGAGAGCTTAATGGATCCCTTTCTCGCAATATTAGAGAAACTACCATCAGCAGTCCTTATTCGTGACGGGTGATAATAAGGGGTATATGAACAAAAACAAGGATGCATTACCTGTCATATGATCAGAGGCTCCTGATTCAAGAATCCAACGACTACTACGATCAACATGGAATGCCATACCTTGTTGAGCAACATGACTAGTTGCCTCAGCAGATTGAGACATCACCTTCTGGAATTGCTCATACTGAGCTTTTGGGATGAATACACCATCGGAGTTTGGAGAGGCACGAGACTCCTCACCCTTATCATCAGAAGAGATTTGATAAGCACGACTCTTGTTCAGCCCCTTTGTTTTCCAGTTTGGTGGTTTTCCATGAATTTCCCAACATTTTTCGCGAGTGTGACCACTCTTATTGCAATGAGAACACCATCGGTTAGAACGTTTTGCATCACTAAGGGGACGAGGAGTATGTTTTGCTACTAGGGCAGATACATCGGAGGATTTAGAGTTCTTGTCTCCCAACATTACCTTTCGGCGAAGTTCCTCCCGTCGTACCATAGAAAAAGCAGCTGCAATGGAAGGTAACGAGTTCTGCCCCAATATCCTTCCACGAACATCATCAAGATCACGATTAAGGCCAGCAAGAAAATCATAGAGACGTCTTTTCTCTAAATAACTCTTAAACCTTGCATTAGCTTCTAAACCTTGAAGATCTGTTGCATCATAAAGATCCAACTCCTGCTGCCACAGAGTTTTTAAAAGAAGAAAGTATTCAGTAACAGACATCCCCTCTTGATGTAACTCTCTTACCTTGGTGTTGAGTTTAAAAGCTTGAGAAGCATTGCCTAGGTCAGAATAATATTCTTTAACGACATCCCAAATTTCCTGAGCCGTATCAAGAAACAAATAAGTTTGACTGATATCAGGATCCATGGAGTTAGTCAACCAGGTCATGACCAAGGCATTTTCAGTCATCCATTTATCATAATCAGGATTATCAGCTTCGGGTTTTTCCTTTTTTCCATCAAGATACCCCATTTTCCCTTTTGCTTGGATAAACAGCTTGACAGATTGATGCCATTGCACATAATTCTTACCGTTTAAACGGTGGTTAGTAATCTGTATAGCTGGGTTGTCTCCAGAAGACGAAGAACAGGAAAGAGGAGAGACACCGAAAACATTACCGGATAATTTTTCAGAATGCTTATTCTCATCCTCATTGTTTCCAACTTCCATCGTTCTAAAAAGAAGGAGAGCAACAGGTCACGCCTATTGTCTTTGATAACGAAGAGGAAACAACTGGACTTAGCAAGAAAAGTGCTCCAATCGTGATTTAAACCCTCAGAACAGGAAGAGGGAAGCCATGCGAGCTGTTCTGTGGAAGCCGCGTGACAAACGGAAGCCGGCAGGGTGGCGCGTGGCTCACACGCGCCGGAGAGGCAGGTTATCAAGAGCAGGTTATCCTGTGGTTTTCTTGTAAACC